CGTTGTTATAGCGTTTGTAATTGATCTGCAGTCAGAAGCATTATTGAGCACGTTCGTTGTTATAGCGTTTGTTTAGCGCGATTGTTGAAGTTGAGTGTATCGGTAAAGTTGTATTCGGAAAGAATAAACCAGTTTTTATTAAGAAAGAACTTGTGTCGCTTAAGTTTCGTCGGAACGAAGTTACGGAAAATTAATTAACAACCGGAGACGTAACAATACAAAGACTGCATCACTGCTAGCACCTTTTATAATAACACTTACTTTGTCAGTTATGTCCTCCACCCCTGCCCCTGGATAACATAATTTAATATATTTCTTCCTATTTACCCCACAGACTATCCTATCCAATTGCGGTATTAAATAATCACCTAAACTACAACCACTTTATGTTTTTCATTTCCATCAGTCCCTTTTAATTCCCTTCCCCGTTCTAGCTCCTCATCCGCACAAGCTAAAGACTGAACCCTGTTACACAACAAAACCTGTTCATTAAAATGAAATCCACTATTTTAGTTCCATTAGTACTGTTTCTAACTTCCTAAAAGCTATTGTTAATTACCGTATTCTTCATACGCAAAAGACTAAGTTCCTCTCGAAATCCCACTACCATTTCCCACAGCTCAGGTTTCTCTTTATCTATCGAATCTACTCTATTTACGATAGCCTCAAATTTCTCATCTACCCTGTGAAGATGTGCATGCAAATTGTACATCTTCACTATTAGCCAATCCCAAGTTCCCAAACAAAATCCAATCTTTGCACCTTACCAGTGTTTATTAACATTTTAACATTTTATAATACGTGTGATATGTTTTCTGTTTTTGTTTTAACATTTTATTGCCAAAAATGACATTTGAAACGGAATATTCTTTGTTTTTAAGTTGTTTTTTTCAATTTGTTTGTTTGTTTTGAATTTCGCGCAGAGCTACACGAGGTCTATCTGCGCTAGCCGTCCCTAATTTAGCAGTGTAAGACTAGAGGGAAGGCAGCTAGTCATCACCACCCACCGCCAACTCTTTGGCTACTCTTTTACCAACAAATAGTGGGATTGACCGTCACATTATAACGCCCCCATGGCTGAAAGGGCGAGCATGTTTGATGTGACGGGAATTCGAACCCGCGACCCAGGATGTTTTTTTCAGAGCTTCAAAAATGGTTTAACCATTATTAACGAATTAAAAGTGTTGCAAGAAATATTCGTCCTAAACATTGTAATTATATTATTTAGTTCCATAAGCTTCACCCAGTAATATTCATAAATGTAGGCAAAAAAGAAACTTAATTACAAAAAAAAAAAATCATAAATATAGTAGCATGGAACAAATGACAACTATTCCCATACCCCTCTCAAGACGAATAGAGAGAATAGACAAAAAAATTGTTGTTGTTGTTATTAAGCACCACAAAGCTACACAAAAGACTATCTGTGCTCTGCCCACCACGGGTATTGAAACCCGGTTTCTAGCAGTACAAGTCCGCAGACATGTCACTGTGCCATTGGGAGGCAACAAAATAAGGTATTCTTCTTATCAGGGGTGAAATTCTTTTTTAAAATAAGTAGAGTTACTCAGCTGGGTGAAGTGGATCTGTTTTTGAAAAAGAAAATAAAATTTACATGTAAACATAAAAAAAAGAAAAACGACAAAGCAACTTAGATAAGTCCCGGTAGTAGTACCGTCTTAAAAAATAAGTTTTGGTACTCAGTACCGGCAGAATTTCACCCCTGCAGTTTTTATATTTGCAAACAGATATTTTTTGAAGTAATGATATTTTTCATATATAATCATTTTCTTATATTTTTAAACAGATTTACGGATTATTTTCCTTCTTCTTCACAAAATATGTAATGTATTTTTATAAATATTTTCCGGTATAATTAGTAATACCATTTGTCGCCAATAGTAGCGCTGCGGCCGTATCTTGACAATGTGAGTCCATTGCAATCCTTTAAGTTTAAGTGCTGTTGTGATTTTCTTTGCGTCTTAAGGAACGCTGGAGTCAGAGAAGGTGATTATCGTGTATGTTTCATGAGTATTATCTCTTATGAAGAGGATTCTAGACTAATTTAATAATACAAATATTTGTAACTTTTAAAGTTGTGTACTGTTGTTGAATGCTTTGTAAATGTAATTTAAAACGATGGCAATGAGCACTTTGTGAGAGTCGCGTGTAATATTTAATATTGAGGTTTAAATATGTCAGATCTCAAGTTTTGTCACGGTGACGTTTATACTGGTGTTAGGAATGAGTTTTGTTTAACTTATTTTAGTATTTCTTGAAATATCGAAGGGAATTGCGATGGGCCTTCGCACAAACCTGAATATGGCATGTCTAGGGACTAGGGCTGATGATACTTTGAGTTTCATAGTGATAGTCCTTCGTTTTGATTTTGTTTTAAAATTAGGATTAGAACTAACGAAGAACGGTGTCGTAAAACTAACAGAAAGGGTTTTTAACATTCTAATACTAAAGCGAGCAGTGCAGTATGTTAAAATTGGAAATAAACTCTAAAACTCAAAAGTAAAACGACTTTGATGGCAAGGGTTTGTTGAAGACTGTCAACTGGCTGTTGTTGTTTTTTTCTTCTTTTTTTTTTGGACTGTTTTAAAAGAAGGATGTAAAAAAAATATTCTTGAATTTTATCATTCTATTGAAAATACTAGAATTGACCAGATTATAAGTCAAAACGTAATTTTCTCTTTATTCTAGTTAGGCCTCACATGAAATATTGTGTATGGTTTTGGTCTTCTTAGAAAATATGTTGACTTATTCGTCAGTGTCCAGTGTAGGGCTACTAAGATGATTTTAAGATGGAAGGGTTATCTAACATGGATAGGCTAAGATATTTTAACTTATCTTCTCTTGAGAAAAGAAGGGTAAGAGGTGATTTTACTAATGTTGACAAGATCACCCAGGTTAATAAGATAAAGGTCTCTGATTGTTTTTTTTTATTATATCCAGAAGACAATAGCATGAGAAAACATGAACTTAAGATATGTTAAAAACAGGCTAGCCTCCAGTTAAGACGCTTGTTTTCCTAACAAGGTGGTTAGCTTATGAAATTGGTTGCCATTGGCATTAATGAAGGCCAACACCTTACAATAGTTTAAAAGGGGAATCTGTATTTTCCTGTTCCATAAGTTTAATTTTTCTCAATGGTTGGTATGTAGGGACATTCTTTTGAAGTCTTCAAGTAGTCTATTTTTTTTTCCATGATGGTAGGTGAAAATATTGGATGTTAAAAATAAAACATTGGCACCAGACAATGGTTTTTCCCAGGGATTTAAAGGAGATCAGATATGTGAGCTTTTCTCTCATTTTTGATAGGTCATTAGATGTGCAGATGCCCAAGTGCTAGAGAGTTACTAATGTAACTCCTATTTTTAAAGGAAGTCGTAAATGTTGCCTTGGAAATTATTCTTTTATAGTGCTATGAGTCTTACTTCTTAAGCAGGAAAAAAATTCTAGAAAATTTTAAATAAAATCTTAAAATCATTTAGTACATAATACCATTAAAGAGAGCTAACATAGGCTCTTAAAAGGGAAATATTGCCTTACTAATCTGTTAAATGTTTTTTACATATTACTTCTAACCTAGAAAATGGAAACGGTATGGATTGGTTTACTCAGGGTTACCATCTTTAAGGAATCTGTTTGTGTGGAACTTTTGGAAAGGTCAAATTTTAGAGCGTGTGGGTAAAGCGCTCCAAATTTTGAAGGCCAGGGGTGTCTGAAGACATGTTACTCAAGAAAATTTGTTTATTCAGTGAAGCAAAATGATGCATATCCTGGATCAATGTGATGCTGAACTTGACCTAGATCCAACCAGTAAAACAACCACACTGCATTATAGAAAGATGCTAACTTGACCAGAATGTTTATTTTTTTTTTTTACTAATGTGTGTGTAAGTGAGAATAGGCCTAGATACACGAGTCTTGCACTCGATGGGTAAATGTAGGTAGTTCTGTTTACTTTTATTTTCAAAAATCTCTTAATAAGGTATAATGCAGAAGTTATCTTAGTAAATCATGTTGGTTGAGATTGGAAGAAGACTAGGTAATTGGAATTTTAGGGTCAGTGAAAGTGAAATGTTCATACTACTGGAGCCCAGTCCAAATGGGTATTTTTTATTTTTTTTGTAGTAGTTATGTGTATCAGGGGTCAGTGTGGATCTATTTGTTTTTTCTCATTTCCATTAAGGATATTGGTAGGAGCATAATTATTTGCTAATAACATTGTAATCAGTACTTCTATGTGTATTTAATATATTAAGGCATTTCAGAATAACTTGGATCAATTGGAAAGCAGAACAAATAATTTCAAGAAACTGACCTCTAACTATAATAAGTGCGAGGTAATGCACTTGGGTAATAGTTTAGAAGACATGTTTAATGTAAATGGGAATGCAATTGCCAAATTTGTTTTCTCTTTCTCTTCCTTTGGCCTGGCATGGTCTGATAGTTAGGGTACTCAACTTGCATTCTGTGGGCCATGGGTTTGAATCCCTGCCACACTAAACATACTTGCCCTTTCAGCTGTTTCATGCCTGTGGTGAGGGGACGTCCCAGGGAAGGTTCTGTATTTTCAGATTACCTCCTCTGTGATCTAAACATCCACCCACATGTTTGCTGTGCATGGTGACCCGTGAAAGGGAGGACAGAATCCTGGTGGTTGAGGGTTGTTATTGATGGGTTGGCTTATGTCAATGGCACTTTTACACACCAGTTTGGCTTTGTATTCCTGTAGATGGGTGGTCTTGGGGTAGCTCACTCAGGTCAGTTGGCTGGTCTAGTTGGGCTAGGGTCAACCAAGTACAAGTGTTGGATGTTCTCAATGGGTGTTGTGGACATTGTTTCTGATACTAGTGTTTGGGTATCATGCCCATGAAATCCTGGCATCTTTACAATGGTTGGCTTTTTTGTAGTACGTCCCATTGTAGGACTCCATGGTGAGTGGGGTCAGTGGGCGCTAAGTTTCTTTTTTATAAATTATACATTCAGCGACTTGCAAAAAAAATCTCATTCATCGAAAACGACCATGATTGGAAGACTCTGATCTCTAATCCCCACCTCATATTCTTTCTGTACCTCATTTTCTCATCCTTCATTCTTTGACATTCAGACAAATGTCTCACTTTTTCATTCAGAAGGGTTTAGAGAGACTTGCTGGCTCTCCAAAGTCAGAAAAGAAGCTCTGTTCTGGAGACATCTTGATGGAAACAACTACACCTAAACACAGCAAACTCCTCCTGAATTTGAATGCCATTGGGGATGTACCTATTGAGGTTGCTCCCCATGCTTATTTAAGTTTTTCCAGAGGAGTTCTTATTGAGAAAGATTTACAGAACATCCCCGAGTCTGAAATCCCTCCAAGAAGTTTGTGGTGAGAAGCATCTCCACTTGTAAAGAAGGATTTATACTGCCTACAAATGTTCTGATTTTGGCATTTACATCATTACACCCACCTGCCTCTGTCAAGGCCGTTTATCTTAACTGTAAGGTATAGCCATATATTCCTAACCCTCTCAGATGTTTCAGTGTCAGCAGTTCAGGCATCTTGTCATGGTTCTTTGATATGCTCATTGTGGTGGCAAAGATCATGACACCTCACTGCATCAATTATGATGGTTCCCATCAGTCTTATTTTTCTTGTCTTAAGTGGGTAGAGGAAAAAGAGGTACAATGCTTGAAAACTGCAAAATAACATTTCTTATCCAGAGGCTCAGAAGTTGTCCCTTGCTACATCTCAGACATATTCTGCTGCTCTCTGTTCCACTGCTAAAGTGGGAGTACAGACCAATCTTTCTGTGCCTCCATCAGTCTTTCTCATACTGTGTGAAAAGTCTTTTACCCTCTGTGGATACAAGAGTTGACAAGACTACTTATACTTCTGTCTCTGTCCCTGCTGTGGCATCCAGTAACTGCTCAAGTCCCTCTCCATTGGTCCGAAGATGCAGAGCCATTATTTATTAACACCTTCAGTCACTGAAGTCTCCTTCTACTGACAGAGATCTGTCCAATCAACCCAGGGCAGGTTCCATGGAGGTCTGTCTACTAAAGAGAAACATTGTGGTTGCAAACAGAAGGGTTCTCTGCCCAGTTCTCCTCCACTTAAATAACAATGGCCACTCTGATATAATGGAACTGTCGAGGTTTTCATTCTAATATGGGTGATATTAGGCCTTGATCGAATCCTATCATTCTGTGTGTCTCTCCATACAGGAAGCATTCCTTCAACCTACTGATACAGTCACCTTTTAGCAGATTTCCTTTTATAGGAATGGCAGGTTTGGTAATAGACAAGTTCATAGAGGTGTGGCACTGCTAGTGACCAGCACATACTCACCTTGTATGTACCACTTGATACATCCTTGAAAGCTGTAGCCGTCCATATCTCTGTGGGTCATACCATCACTGTTTGTTCTTTCTACCTGTCTCCCAGAAAGATGATCAATCAGACCTTGATGCTTTTGTGAAACAGTTGAAGTCTCCTTTTTTCATCCTAGGAGACTTTAATGGACACAATCCACTTTGAGGCAGTGCTGATATTGATGGAAGGGGTCATTCTGTGGAGAATAGATTCTCATATCTGTACTGGTTCTTTTACATATTTTCAAGTGCATAGTCATTCTTTTGCTGCTATTGATCTATCTTTTCCCCTTCATTTTTTTTTAAATTTTTCTTGGAAGGTTGATGGTGACCTATGGGGCAATGATCATTTTCCCATCCTTTTCAGGGATGTCAGCCATGGTCGATGTAACCCGACTTGTGTGCCATGGTGAAAGTTGAAGCAGGCTGACTGGCTCTCCTTCATCACTCTCTCTTGGAACTTGATCTTGCTGCATTTTCCATCTATTAAAGCAGTAATTGATTGTATAATTCAGGCAGCTGTTTGTTCTATCCCCCAAAACCTTGACATGTTTCCCATGGTATCCTCATCTAAGGCAATCTTCTATCTCAAGCAGGCACAGAAAGCTCCAAAATGGGCTTGGGATACCTTATACTTATATGCCACTCT